GTTCATTACTGTATTTACAAAGCTCCTTTGAGTTCTTGGGAAACATCAAAAAGTGTTGTCTTATACAATTTGACAGGCAACAATGAGGACTTCAGCCCCCAAACTAAACAGCACTAATTAAAAGCAAGATGCAATTGGTTCACAGATATTTTTTCTTTGAACTTTTCTCTTTGAGGAACTATACATTATATTAAATTAGTGAAAAACAATTATCTCAGATTTTTTCATTGATAGCATTCTGTTTTTCCAATTCTTTTAACTTGAAGATGTCTGGAGATTTAAAACTGGAACTTGTATAAAACTTTGGTCTATCTATCTGAATGACACTAATGCTTGTAGGGGAGGGAAAGAATAGCAACCTTTGGTATCTACAAATGAATTTTTGGATACTCACAATTCATTTCTTATGGAAACAGAGTGATGTTTGGTCTCCAAGTTGCCTCAGTGGAACCTGATAAATATATTACTTAATACACTGTCAGTGTGTTCTTGGGGTATTACTTTTTTCCCCAAGTTTATTTTCTTCTCTAAAAATAGTTTAGCTACTTTTAGGAGGTAATGTTAGATTTACACTTACCTGCCACTTCTATTCTGGGCAAATAGGGACTCCTAGTTAATATTTGGACCACGGCAGGTAGTGAGAAGAGAATCTTATGGAAGTGAAGTCATAGAACACAACTCTTTTTTAGGTGTGCAGCATAGAAATGTAACTCTTAGATATGAATACTCCTAAATCAGATCCTGGACTCTGAAGTACTGCTAAATAGCCATCTTCAACACCAACATAAAATCATTATCACCATCACTATCACCAGTAGCAACAGAAGCAGCAGCAAAATTATGATCACTATTATGTGTTTGAGAAATTTGCAGTTCTATTAACAAGAATTTTAGAGCTGATCATTTTAGTTTCCAACCATTTTTTATCTTTCTACCCAAAAATGAAACTAATCTGATCCATAACATTATATTTAAAACTTTATCAGTTTTCTTCTTTTCGTATAGTTTATATGCAGAGTGAGTTATTTTAATCTAATTGTAATTAGTTGTGAAAATATTGCTGACTTTATTTGTTTACTCAGCAAATATTTACTAAATACTAACTCTATGGCAATCACTATTCTATTTATTTGACGTACATATTAAATGGACAAAGATCTCTGTCTCTGTGAATCTTACATTTTAGTGGAGGAAAAAGGCAATACAAATATTAAGCAAATGTTATGGTTTGTAGTAGGGTGACACATGCCTTGGAAAAGTAGGTTAAGGTCAGAGGGTTGGGAGGAGGGGTATGGGGAATGGTGGCTGCAATAAAATAGGGGGGTCTTGGTAGGTTTCATGGAGAAGGTAACATTTGAACAAATGGTAAATGTATGTTTCGTAACTAATATTGCTATCATTACTAAATTTATAATTTGGAGTAATACTTATTTTTTCTATTTTTTTTCTATTTTTGAGAACTTTCTGCTTACTACATTCTAAACTTTGTATGGATCAGTGTGTATGTTATTGCTTTTGGAAATAAATATTATAATTCTAAAAAGTTAAGTAAGTTTATTGATCATCTTAGACTTAATTGCATTTATAAATGGATTTTAATTAAATTGAGAAAAATATTTTTAATTTTGTACTAAATAAATGGTGACTCAAATGAATGACATTTGTAGTAATTTCACTAGAAATCAAATTTATTTATTTATTTCTTTGTTTTGCAGGAACATGGCAAAATGGTTCAGATTACCCAAAAAAACAAAAACAAAAACAAAATAAAAACAAAAAAAACCTAACCCTTTCATTTTCTTTCTTTTCTTTGAAATTTATTTTAAACCACTCTCTCCCAAAAGGGAGTCACATTTGCATCTTTTTTGACTTTTAGGTCAAATTCAAGGTCAAACCCCACAGGATTTATTTTAATTCAATAGGCTATCCCGACCCACTTCAAGAAGAAAGCAGAAGACCAAAAGATTGTGAATATAAATATTTCTTCCATTTTATAGCTAAATGAAGTAGGTAAGATTCTCTTATATAATCAGTTAGTGTTAAATTATCTAGGGTAAACCTGGCAAAGAACTGGTGCAGTTTATTATAATTACAACACAAACTATATATACATTTATTTCTAAAAAAGATATCTATAATTGTCAAAAATTTATATACCTTAAATTACAATATATAAAAATGCTTTCATGCACTCTCTTATAAAGAACACTTTTGTTCAGCAAAAAGTTGTCCCTTTTAAAAAAATATGAAACTGAATTTGGTTGTGTGCAGGGCTCACACCTGTAATTCCAGCACTTTGGGAGACCAAGACAGGAGGATCACTTGAGGCCAGGAGTTAAAGACTAGTCTAGGCAGCACAGTGAGATCCTGTTTCTATAAAATAAAAATGAAACAATGAAATGAAATGAAATATTAGCCAGGTGTGATGGCATAGGCCTGTAGACCCAACTGCTTGAAAGTCTCAGTCAGGAGGATTGCTTGAGCCCAGGAGTTTGAGACTGCAGTGAGCCATGCTTTTGCTACTGCACTTCAACCTGGGGGACACAATGAGACCCTGTCTCTAAAAAACAGAAAATTCCCAAAACCAAAATTTGTACTCATTGGCTCTTAGAAAGACAACAGACAGCATTCAAAGGACATACTTTCTTCTCCTAAATTCAGATATTAATCTTTATTACCTAAACTACACTTAGGTTATCTCATTTTCTTCATTGGAAGGTTATTCCTCCCTTTGTGTTCTCCATCTCAATCAATGGCGTCATAATCTATCTTTTCTGAGTTTAGAGCAGTAGAGAAATCTCCTAAACTTTCCTTTCTCTTATCTCCAATGTCTAGCTAATCAACAAGCTCACTTAGGTCCATACTCCATTTCCCTTCACACTGTAAAATTTCCAAAGGCAGAAAATGATGTCCCTCATCTTCAAGGCTCCCTAGTTCCCATAAGATCAACTCTCTAAATTCCTTTACATTGCATGCAAAGCTATGTGTGACCTGACCAAACATATCCAACCCTTTCACCCCACACAACAGCTCATCTCTGGCACCTGCATTGGTTTTCCTGATTGATTTTCCTGAAAAATCTCTGCTCTTTACATAGTTGGGTCTTTGAATTAGTTATATTCTCTGATTGGAAAGACACTTCCTTTTCCAATCTTTGCATTCACTAATTCATTAAGCGACAAATATTTACCAAATACCTACCCTGTCAGGCAACTGGAATGAGTTAGAGTCTAAACTGGTGACAAAGTAGACATGCCCCTGCACTCATGGAGTTTGCACTCCTCTGCCTGCACATGTCTTTCCAGACTCAGATGTCTTTACGTCATTCTTCTTCTCCACAGTCTATCCAGATTGAACGAATCACTCCTGCTTCTGGAAGGCTTGGCCTCTGCATGCCTTTGTTGTGATATTTATGTCACATTTATTTTCTAAGTCCATCTTCTCTACTAGACTCAGCTGCTTACATTAAGGGATAAGTATTTTCATCAATAGACTTGCCTATTATTGGACATAAAATCAGTTTGAAGGGACTTGACTCAAACTTCAGATGTTATGCCAGAAAACTAGGTTTGTAAAGATGACCATAATAAAGCTACTGAGTGCATGTGTATTCTTTCTATTTAGGTATGCCAATTTTCCCAACAATTTTTAGAGCCCACTTCTAATATATTCTATAACATACCTGGCATACTATTTATTTTCTATGTTTAAAAAAATTACTTCTAGCCGGGCTCGGTGGCTCAGCCTTATCCCGCGCCTTTGGGAGGCTGAGGTCAGTGGATTGCCTGAGCCCGCGGGTTCAAGACCCACCTGGGCAGCAAGACCTCATCTCTACAATAAATCAAAAAATCAGCCGGGTGTGGTAGCGCATGCCTGTAATTCCGGCTACTTGGAAAGCTGAGGCGGAAGGATCGCCGGAGCCCAGTAGGTCGAGGCTGCGGTGGCCGGGAACGGCCACTGCATTCCAGTCTGGGCGACACAGTGAGACTCCAACTCAAAAAAAGAAAAATTGCTTCTATCTCTAAAGATAATTTTTCATCTAAATATACACGCAATTCCCCTCTTTACAAACCATTAATGTATACTGTAGCTAATGGCTTAAAACTTACTTTTGTATGCATTTTTTCTGTATATAGAAATTTCTCTTTCCTAGAAGATTTCTTTAATTAACACAAGGGTTTTCTCTTTCCTCTTGAGCTACATGTAAGTGCATTATAGCCAAAGAAACATATGCCTCACTCTCTATTCTGAATGCCTTAGTTTACTGGAGGACTACTTCTATGTAGGATTATATTTTAGGTCTTGAGATATATTGCTCCCAGTGTAACCTAGTATAGTACTTTCATATTGACTTATTCCGAAGAAATGAATTCTATGGGATAGTTTACAATGGTCACCTTCCTTCCTTTCATATCCAGAATGGCTACAACTCCTCGATCTGTATTTGACATAAGCAACTCACAAATACCACATTGAATTTTTATTTATTTATTTATTTTTATTAGTGACTAAATTTGTTGTGTATGTATAATATAAATACAAATATATAATATATATATATTTAGTGGCAATGGAAGCACTGAAGATAACTGGGCTTGTAATTACATGAATAGAAGTTGCTCTAAGTTCATAATCTGGAAGAGGTGATGATACTTCTAACAAAAATCAGGCCAGCAAGATTTTAATAAGAATGAAATAATATTCTGAGACTAGAATTATATTTAAACTACATTGGCTAACTGCCATTATCCTGATTCTGGTAAAAGAAGAAAATAATGATGCTAGTTTTCAGAGCCTAAAATGGTTCCCATATGATGTTGACTTCAGTTTATTTATAAAGGCTTATCAAACCATTACAACATGCTTTGACTTATACAAGCAAAATGATTTATAAAGAAAGAAGCTAGCTAGTGACAGGTTTTTAAAATGCATGTGTATCTAACTACAGCTATAATATACTTTCATGTAAAATTACTTAGAAAGAATCAGACATGATGTACCTTTTCCACCTCCATCTTGCTTGAAATCTTCCCTGTACCATTACTGTATCTGAAAAATAAATTGGTCCAGTTTATAGTTTTATTAAAATGTAATTAGGAAAATTCCTAATCAAAACGTCAATATTCTTTACCGTGGAACTGGATTTATTTTCTCTTTCCTCTCATTTGTTTCATGTCCACTAACACATTCTGCAAAAAATAAATAAAAAACAATAATTTAAATAAGGGGTTATCACTGGGTTTATATGTGTATTAGATGGAAGCATTATTAGAAATTGAAAATGAAAAATTCACCTTATACTAACATAATATTCATCTTAACAAAGTATTTTATAAACACAAATATTCCCCAAATATTTTTTTATTGCATCAGAACAGTTCAACAGAGCAAGAAATAACCACAATGGCATTTGATGTTGTATTCAAATAGAATGTAGGTATTAAAGATTCCCAGTATCATGCAGAAAAGTCATTTCAGCAGAAAAAAGAGTAAACTGGAAGTCTGATATAAAGACCTGAGAGAAGTTCCATCAGTCTTGCTGTAGGATAGAGAAGACATTCTTCTTTTTTTGCCAGAAAATATGAATCCAACAATAAATTTAAGGTAAAATATCTGTATAATATAACTACTTTGTACAAATTTTGGGAACTATAGACAGAGGACAGTTAAATTCACATCATGCATGTATGGACAGTTAATTTAAAATATAACCCAGAATTCTTGAGTTTATGTCTATTGCCCAAAGGACTAGCTCCCACTCTGTATATATTAGCATGCAATACCATCAATTTCTAGTCCATGGTTGGTAGCTCCGTTGAAGTAAGTCATCTGAGTGGCTTCGATCTCTGCTTCTGCACTGATGATCTGCTGTGCCACAGCCTCTGCGATGGGCATCACCATGGCCGTAGTTGAAGTATTGCTGAGCCACATGGATAAGAAGGCAGTACTGCTCATGAACCCCAAAGTCAGCCTGAAACAAGAGAGCCCTTGCTGTGGAGTAGTGCTCTCTGGCTTAAATAGCTCTGTATAGTTTTTGGTTTTTTAAAGTATTTTTTACATTATCTGACTCTCTTGTTTATTTACTTGGTTTAAATTTTTTTTTTTAATTTTAGCTTGAGAGTGGTGGGGATTGGGTCTCAGGTGATCCATTCCCCAGATACTGAACATTGTGACCCATAGGTAGTTTCTGAACCCTAGCTCCCCTCCTCCTCCCCCTTATTAGGTTGGAGCTGGAGCTCTGTATAATTTAACTGTAAAAAATGTTGTTTTCAGTTGGGCATTTATGTTTTTCAAAGTATAGAAGGTTAAGGTTCTACCCAGATGATAAACTTTGTATGCAGTTATGGCCAGGAAGAAATCAAAGTGACACATGTAAAAGTGGGAGTTCCTAATAGATTTGTCTCCCAGGGAACTATAAAAATCTTCTCTTCAAAAGCAGAGAAATGATTATGCTTACAACCATTCTGCAAGTTGTTATACAGCATAACATCTTGTAATATTACACCAACATTTGAATATTCTTTGCAGGTGACCACTTACCTTCAAATGCTAGTAAGATGAAATGCAATCAACTTTTGAATTTAGGGTCCTTATTTTTTTTCTTTCATCTTTTAGTCATTATATCTGTTCATATGTGTGTCAAGGAGGCACAAGGACAAGGAGAGAGATTAATATTTATAAAGCCTTTTTTTACTTGTTCACTATTCTGGTTCAATATGTGGTGGGTGGAGAAAATAACTAAAAGGAGGCTTTGGAATTTTCTGTATATTCCATTATTTATGCTATCCTGAATCTGACATCTCTTCCTGTTGTCAAGAATTGGATATCTTACATTGGCTTCTTTTATAAATAGCGTAGTTCTTTTCCCTTAAAAATAACATGCCTAAGACTACAGGATTTTAAACCGTGTCTATAAACTTTTCAAAATCACACTTGGGGGGAGGAGGGGAAGCATGATGTCTTTTGAGTAGAAGACCCTAGAAAATCATTCAGAAGCCCATCTTTCCATTTCAAGCCATTTATCAAATTCTATGACACCCTTTGGAAATGGCTCTACAAGAACAATTCCACATTATAAGTTTCAAACTTAGATAAGTTGAATATTTCCAATATGTAAAACAAAAAATGTTTTAGAAACGTGCTTAAACAAGAAATGATTCTTAATAAAAAGAAAACTGGCACACTTTTAACTTAAGGCATTGGGAAAACTTGAACTTCTCCTATAAAATGGTTGGGATCAGATAAAGCTTCTGGATGATAAGATGCCTTAAATTGAAAAGCCACTTAGTTGTATAAGGGCAGAACTCACCCCATTGTGCAGTGCATTACCTCAAGCCCTGGAGTCGGTGAGCAGATGGTCAAGGGAAAGAGATATATTTCTATAGTACCCAAAGAAGCATGGGTCCCCATTTCATTTTAAGACTGAAATGTCTTAAATACACATATGTTTTAAATTTTTAAATAAATTTCTTTTTAATTTGTCTCATCAGAGTCATTGATTTATTTATTGTATCATAAATTTGCACCATAAATGAGAAACACAGATGCAGCTCTGCCCTCTGATTAATTATGCAACATAAGTCAATACAATATTCCTAATTTCAACAAAAAAAGATGATAAGGAAAGAATCATTTAAGGCTTTAAAGGAAAATGTCACTATGCAAATGATTATGACACTGAGGTTTTCTTTAGCTTACATTCATGTTCTTAAGGACAGGTGGAATAAAACTAAAATAACCAATTAATTTTGTCTGTGAAACGAGTGACTTCACATTCTATAAATGAAACACCTTAATTGATTGTTTCACTTTACAACAATTGATTTTAAAAGAGAAATGTTCACTTTGGAATTTTTCTGCACACATTTATGTTTTGTCAGTAAGGTCTTTGTCTTTGGTTCTTAACATCCTCCCTGATGATAAAAGATGCTCTTGAACAAGTTCTGAATGTATAATCAGCCAAATAAGCAAGATAGGGCTGAAATCTATTCTAAAGTCTATCAATCTTGTCTACTGAGGTTCAAGGCTTCTCTCAGCAATGACTTCTGTGGTGCATAAAAGGTGAGAGAGTTGTGTGCACTTATCCCAATCTCCCTGTAATTAGACCTGCAGTGAGAGGAAAGCTTTTCTCCCCACAACTCAAGCACACTTTATATCACTTTCATATTTGTAGAGGAAAAAGGTCATAAATTATACTGTGATACAAATAATTCCCTAGACATACATTACTTATTTGGTTATTTGATCTTCACAAAAAATGATCTGTTCAGAATGTAAATTGGAAGCAGTAAATGCAGAACTTACCACGCAGGGTTCACACCGACCATCATCACCATTCTCAGAGCAATCCTCTTGTGCAAATTCCATTTTTCTATTGAAGTTGCTAAACAGATGACTCCAATTAGCAGAAGGTGAAAATCTTTGAAATAAGCAGATGCTACCTGAAATTGCAATTAAGCCCATGCTTATTTACATTGGTGGGGAGAAATAACATTGTGCAAGAAAAACATTATACTGTTTTTAACTTTAACCTTCAACTACATAATCTTTCTATTTTGTTGAGAAAAATGTAGATGTGATTGAATACAAATTTAAATATGTTCTATAGTCTTACCTAGAGACAGTGTGTTAAGCAAAAATATACAGAAAAAAAAGTGTGCAAGGTACTGGATTATTGAATAGCTGAGTAACATCAGCCAAGTACCTTATATGTCTTAATAATTTCTCTATCTTTAAATTGGGCATAATTTGTTTATGCTTCTATGGTGGAATGGTGAAGACAGATTTGGGAAAGTCCTGAATCAAGACCCAACCTGCCAATATCTTCTTTATGACCCATTATGCCATAACTGTAGTTATTCTGTCGTATTTGGAATGGTTTTACTTTAAAATATTTATTATAAAGCTAAGACCTTTGAATGAGGACCAACTCTCTAAGCCAACTTCAGTTAACACCACTCAGAGATTTGTAAAGTGTCTAGACATTTTAAGCAACCATTTTCAGCAGTATTTCCCAAAGAATGCTCTGAAATATGTTAGGTACAAATGTTTGTTTGTTTTGTAAAGGAATTGTGTAATCAATTAGATTTAGAAAACATAGAAATTTGAAATACCAGAATTTTCTTTCCTGTAGGCCTTCCCAAAAATCTTTAAATAATATTGTATATTGTCATTTTCAAAGAGTAAGATATCACACCTGCATATTTTTCAAGCTTATTTAATCATAAAAACCTTATTTTTATTTGGTTTTTAGGTGGAACACTTCATGGGACTAGTATTCAAGAAAACCTACTTTAGGAAATGCTTGGCTAAACTGAATCACTGCTGGTGTCTTGATCTTGGAATTCCCAGTCTCCAGAACTTTGAATAATACATTTCTGTTGCTTACAAATTACCCAGTTTAGGGTGTTTTGTTATAGCATCCTGAATGGGCTAAGCTACTGAGTTTATTTTACCAACACAATGAGAATAAAGTGAGATAATAAATGCAGAATTACTTTTAAATATCCAAAGAAACACATGGAAGCAAGTCATTTTCAGAAAGTGGTTAAACACACATAGCCAGAAGTCCAGGACCATAAGATGTTCTTGGTGAAATTCATTCATATGATATGATGAGTTAGTACACTTTGTAGAGGTCCAGACGGTAAATATTCTAGACTTTGGTGGCCATATGGTCTCTACTGCAATTACTCAGCTCTGTCTTTGTGGCACAAAAGAGCCAAAGACAATATGTAAATGAATGGACATAGCTTTGTTCCATTACAAACTTTATTTTAAAAATTATTCATAGGCAGCAAACTAGATTTGGCTCTCTGACCCATAGTTTGCCAGTCCCTGAATAGATCATGCAAACTATGGCCTGCAGCTAAATGAAATTGTTGTTAAAACTAAGAAGAAATTTTCACATTCTCTGCTTTTATTGTATTACCTGTTGTTTGGTTTTTATCAGTCTGAATATTTGTGGAAAAAACATTTGTTTGTTTATAGCCTCCTTGTCCAAGAGGTAATAGAAGTTGCTATTGGTTTGTAAACAATACTCATAAGTATAACTATCTTCAAGGCAAAATTGATATGTCAAATAAAATTCCTAACAGAATGTGAAATCTATTTGCAAGATCAAGGTAGTTATATTTCTGGTTTAAAACAGGATTGTATTAAAAAACATGGAGTTTTGCAATTAGAGCACCTGGGTTCTCTCTTAGTTATATAATTTACCAGTTCAGCAATCTTTTTACAAATCAATATATAGTTGTAAAAGTTAATAGTACCTCACATCAAGCTTGTAAACTAAATGAGATAATACGTACATTCAAAAAGTGCTTTGTTAGTTATAATGTTGTTTTGCTAAATCCAGTGGTCAATATCTAACTTTCAATTTAACTGACTTACTTGCAGATTTGATACAAATGATCACTGCCTCATCTACAAAACTTTTGCTTCACTTGGGTTCCAGGACTCCATACCCTTCTTGTTTTCTTCCTATGCAATAACCTTTTCTTCACAATCACTTTGGCTAGTCCTTTCTTTTCTCACTGACCTCTTAATATACTTATGTAGCTCAGTTCTTCCTCATCTTTGCTTTTCTATCTTCATTCCCTCCCTAAGTGATCTCATCAAGTCTTAGGGCTTTAAATACCATCTATATGCTGATGACATCCATGTCCCTATCTTCAGATCAGTTCTCTCTTTCATGAATTCTGGACTCATTTGCTTTCAACTGCCTATTCAACATCTTCACTTAGATGTCTAATAAGTATTTCAAACTTATGTGTATAGCTCTGGGCATCAACTCCTTTCCTAATAAGCCTACTCTACTGATGGTCTTTCCCATTTCAATTGACAGCAACTCAACTTTTTCCAATTGGCAGTTCAAAGCTGTGAGGTATCTTTGGCTCTCTCCTTTCAATCATATGCCATATTCAATCTATCAGGAAAGTATCTTCAAAATTTATCAGTAATATGTCTGAATTACCTTGTCTCTCACCTGGATTGTAATAACTTACTATTTATCTCTTTCTTTCTACCTTATTTCTTAACAATAAAATCAAAGTTATTTTGTTAATATCAAAGTCAGGCTGATCATGCAACTTTTGTGCTCAAAGCTCTTCACAGTGTCCTGTTTTATTCAGAATTTGAATTTTATGATGGCCTACTTTGGCTCTATCTTGTCCATTTCCTCCACACATTACTTCGCTGACATAATCTTCTATCATTTTTCCCTTTATTTACTCTGATCCAGTTAAATTGCAAGCATACACCTAACTTAAGGTTTTTATACTCCCTGGGTGTTTCTCCTGCGATGGTCATTCCCCAGCTGGTCAAATGGATAACCACATCGCCTATAAATCTTTATATTTTTGTATCACCATCTCAGTGAGATCTAACCTGACAACCTTATTTTAAATTGCCATCCCCTGTGGTGGCGCGCGCCTATGGTTCCAGCTACTTGGAAAGCTGAAGTGAAGGATCGCCTGAGTCCAGCAGGTTGAGACTGTGGTGGCCGTGAGCGTGTCACTGCACTCCAGCCTGGGCAACAGAGTGAGATTCCAACTCACAAAAATAAAAATAAATAAATAAATAGAATTGCCATCCTTTCTGGTCCTCATTATCTTGTTGAATTTTTTCCATCACACAAAATTATCTTTCTTACTCACTTTGCTTTATAATTTACCTATTTATGAGATATATTGTTTATTGCCTCTTTTCTCCTAGAAAGAGAAAATATTTCTGTCTGTTTTTATTCACTGATGCACTCCCAAGTTTCTGACAGAGTCCTGTTACTTAGATATCCATTGAATTACTGAGAAAATATGTAATGTAACATCTAAGTATGCATATATGTGTATTTTCACATTCATATATGCAAAATTTATATAAAATATATTGTCATTGATAATAATGTTGATGCTTATTTTGAAATAGCAAATTGAGCACACTTTAAATGCTTTAGCATTGAAGTTTAATTTAACAGATATGAGAAAAGTTCAATATTTGTTGATGTTCTTCAAGTGAAGTAATGATCTCACTTAGATGTCTGAAGAAGACATAGGTATTTAGCATTGACTTAATAAATAGGCTTAATAAATAGGTAAAGTAAGTCCAAAACCATGGTGGCCAAAGTGAAAGATGTTTAGTGCTCTGAACTTAGTTGAGGGCATTAATGACACATTATCCTACTCAATGACATTTGAGATTCAATGCTGTTGCAGTAGGAAGGAATGGAAGCATAAAACCCTCAAAACAAACTTTAACTATGAATATTAAAACTCATAAGAATACTTGATAGTTTGTATCATTGTTTAAGAAAGGTTATTTAGTTTGATTGTTACAACAACCCATGGGTCATGTGGCATTATCTTGTCCTACTTACTGATGATAAAAAGAGTTATTAAGGGACATGTTCAGGTCCATACAAGTACTTAATGGTAAACATCAGATTTTAAGCTTACATCTTCTGACCTAATCTTTAGCTCTTCCCATAATACACTCTGGCTTTGGTCAAATATATAAGAGTAAAAGGTAAGTCGTCCTGCCTTACAAGAGGATCACAAGATGGAAGAACAAGATGGAAGAACAGCTTTCTCCACTAAAAGTCCTAAGAGTATCATTTGCTGCAAGTTTCAGCTAAGCTTACTAGGTGAAGAAGTCACATAAAGTTTAAAAAACTTAGGCTGCAATATCAGAGAAAAGTTGATAGACTCATTAACACTTGCAACACTCTATAGAATAATCCACATGTTTGTGTTTATTAATGTACCAATAATAAATTAGCTAACAAACATCAAGTGCTTCCTATGTAATAGACTTTACATTTATTATCTATTTTAATCCTTAAGTATCTTTGACAAACTAGAGCTAGTTCGAGAAAGAGAAAAGAAGTTAGTGGTGGAGATAGAGTTGGAGGGGGCAAATTTGAGGATAGGATGAGGAGTGGAGGCCATACAGACCAAAGACAAGGAGAAAATGATATTAATTTTCAAATCCAAACAACATTGTTATGCAAAAAATAATGAGTTCTTTTGTGTGTGAAATTCTAGACGGTAGAAATAACTTTAATGAGTCAGTGACTGAGTTTCAGACTTGGGCTCAATAAAACCAAGTTGCTTAAGAGCTAAAATTTAACAAAAATGCTATGGATTTTCTGGATGTATATTAAAGGCTCATAAGTCAGAAAGTCTTTAATCACTTTCTGAATGATCTAATCAGTAAGACATATTGTGAAGGGAGTCCCTGTTCCGGGTGAGAGGTGACCCAGAACTCCTTTCCAAGTATGAGATTCTGTTACTGTTAAATTAGTCTGAGGTTGTTGTCACCTTTGGGGATAAGGACACTTGGACAGGTGCCTGTAGTCAGAGTGATGCAACTGCTACTGGCATCTAAATTTTGCTGCCTATAGCCAGGTCTCCACACACTACAAAGAGGCAAATATATATATAATCTCTTGGCCGTGCCCATAGAGCCAGACCTTCCTAGATACAATTTTGTTCCTGCTTCCCTCTAAAAGTTCTATACGCCCTCCCAAAGTAGCTTGCTACAGAAATTCTCCTTGATTCTAATTAATCTCACTTCTATTCCAACCTCCTTTTAAAAGTCAATTAAATCAGTTTTATTGTTATTAAATCATAAGAGACAAACATGTAACTGTTAAACTTAACTCTCTAAAGACAGAACCATCCAAGCCAATAGAATAAGGACTTAAAATCTGATACCATATTTTGAACTTTTTTAATTCTTAATTTTAAAGGTGTGGGGTACAACTCAGGGTTAGGTATACAAATGTTCATTATACAGGTACTCTCATTGATGAGGTATTCCCCCCTCTCCTGGCAGTTTCCCATTACTGCCAATCCCTTTCTTATAGTATTATGATAATTGCTCAAGGTCCACTTATGAGTAAGAACATGTGGTACTCAGTTCTTTGTTTCTGTGATAGATCGCTCAGTATTATAGACTCTAAGTCTATCCAACTTGCTGAGAAGTTCACAATTTTGTCCTTCTTTATGACTGTGTAATATTCCATTGTGTATATACACCAAATTTTTTATCCAGTCCTCTTTCAATGGGCAGCATGGTTGGTTCTATGTTTTTACTACTATGAATAATGCTGCAATAAACATGTGTGTGCAGGTATCTTTTTTATAGAGTGATTTGAGTTCTTCTGGGTATATTCCCAGAAGTGTGATTGTGGGTTTGTATGGAAGGTCAAAATTTAGATATTTTAGAAATCACCAAACTGTTCTCCACAGATGTTGTACTAGTTTACACTCCCACCAAAAGTGTAGAAGTGTTCCCTTTTCCCCACATCCTCTCCAGCATCTGTTGTTTTTTGAGTTATTGATGCCAGCCATCTTGATTGGAATTAAGTGGTATCTCAGTGTGGTTTTTATTTGCATTTCTTTGGTAACTAGTGAGGCTGAGCATTTTTTCATGTATCTGTTGGCAGCTTATATGTCTTCTTTTGAGAAGTGTATATTCATATCTTTTGCCCACTTTGTAATGGGGTTGTTTGGTTGTTGTTGTTGTTTTTTTCCCTCTTTTCAGCACGTTTGAGTTCCTTGTATATCCTAGGTGTTAGGCCTTTGTCAAATATACAGCTGACAAATATTTTTTCCTCAGTCTATAGCTGTCTCCCCACTCTCTTGATGGTTTCTTTGGCTTTGCAGAAACTTTTCAGTTTGATGAAGTCCCACTTGTCTATTTTCTTTCTTGTGGCATGGGCACCTGGGGTTTTGTTCAGAAATTGGTTGCCAGTTCTAATTTCCATAGGGGTGTCTCTTGCTTTTTATGGTTTGAGGTTTATGTTTAGGTCTTTGATTCATTTAAAGTTGATTTTTGTGTATGGTGATAGGTAGGTATCTTTAATCTTCTGCATGTGGTCAGCCAGTTTTCCCTGCACCATTACTGAGCATGAAATATTTTTCCAGTTGTTTGTGACACTTTATTTTTGGGAACTTGTCAAATCCTTCTTTATACATTTCCTTTATTGAGAGCCAGATACCATGTTGGAGTATTTAAGAAATATAGAGTATAAATCTCAGATTACATGGGGCAGTAGATCATCAGCCTGGGAGTCAGTAGAACTGAAATACAGCCTTTATGATGCTTTCTTCCCAGTCAATGGCAATTTTAAAGAAAAGAGTCATTAATAGGAGGGAGGAGGGAAATGTAGTAAGAAAAGAAGAGCAGAGAGGATCAAAAATGCAAAAGAAGAAAATGAACTTGGGCTCCAAAATCAGGAAGAATGACATGATAAAAAAGGGAACAGCTCCTTTCACAGTAAGAACACAGTAAGTTTAAAAAAAATATCTCTACCCACATGAAAGACAGGTAAGCCTCAAGATAGCAATGTTGGACCTGGGCAGAAGACAAAAGTCCAATGGTGATAAATTTTACCAGCTGGCATCTTGAACTTAACATTTTTCCTGAGAATATTTCAGCTGGGATTTAGGCAGTTGTTGTATGCTGGGTGACTGGAGACTGCATGGAAACAGACATTCTGGTTTCAATACATACCTTGCTTTTAACGGGAAACTGAAACCGTTTCCTTCATCTAGGTTCTCTTAGATTGCAAGAAGGTAAGAAATACTAATTAGCATGAATAAACTCTTCTCAGCAAGAACAAAATAGAAATATACATGAAAGTTAATTTGACTTTATCTTTTGAAATGACAGATTTCTGGCAAAGAAAACAGGGAAGATTTTGCTTCATTAAAAACAAAAATTGCTGAGTCATATGGACGGCCAATGTCTGGTTCTTTTAGAAATTGTCACACTGTTTTCCATAGAGTTTGAACTAGTTTGCATTCTCACCTTCAGTGCAGACACATTCTCTTTTCTCCAACCCCTCCAGCATTTGTTGTTTATTTTATTAATGGTGGCCATTCTTACTGGAGTTAGGTGGTATCTCAATGTGGTTTTGATTTGCATTTCTATGATGATGAGTGAGGCTGAGCACTTTTTCATGTGTCTGTTGGCTGCCCCTATGCTTTCTTTTGAGAAATGTCTATTCATATCTTTTGCTCACTTTTTAATGGGGCTGTTTGTGGTTTTCCTTTCAGCATGTTTGAGTTCCTTGCAGATTCTGGATGTTAAGCCTTAGTCAGTTACACAGTTGGCAAATATTTTTTCCCATTCTGTGTGCTGTGTCCCTGCTCCCTTGATGGTTTCTTTTGCTTTGCAAAAGTTTTTCAGTTTAACGAAATCTCACTTAACTATCTTATTGCTTATGGCATGGACATCTGAGGTTTTGATCAGGAATTGGTTGCCTACTTCAATACCATAAGGATTTCTTCTGCGTTTTCTAAGATTCTTATAGTTTGTGGTTTTATGTTTAGGTCTTTCTTTCATTTAGAATTTATTTTTGTGTATTGTGATTGGTAGAGGTTCTGTTTCAGTCTTCTGCATGTGGTCAGCCATTTTTCCCAGCAGCGTTTACTGATTAGGTTCTCCTCTCCCCAGTGGTTGATGGTGAAGGCTTTGTCGAACAGAGTTGGTTGAGAAATTCAGGATTTGTTTCTGGAATCTCTATCCTGTTCCATTGGTCTATATGGCTGCCCTTGTACCAATGCCAGGCTGTTTTGATTATTGTAGTCTTATAGCAAAGTTTAAAGTCTGAAAATGGGATAACTTCCACATTTTTTTTCCTGAGGATTATTTTGGCTATTCATGGTCATTTATGTTTCCTATGAATTTCTGTATTGTCATTTCCAGGTGGTGATATGTTCCAGAGTAACTCAAATCATTCTACAGAAAAAATATCTGCAAAATGCATGTTTATTGCAGCACTATGCGCAATAGCAAAAACATGGAACCAACCATGCTGACCATCAAAAGTGGGCTGCTTAACAAAAATGTGGTGTATATACACGATGGAATATTACACAGCCCTAAAGAAGGACAAAATTAGGGACTTTGCAGCAACTTGGATGGAGTTAGAGTCTATAGTACCCAGTGATCTATCACAGAAACAAAGAACTGAGTACCACATCTTCTCACTTATAAGCAGACCCTGAACATTTACCATAATACTATAAGAAAGGGTTGGCAGTAGCTGGAAGCTGCCAGGGGAGGAGGTGGGGGGGGTCATATAACATCAATAAGGGACCTGATCTCAAACCAGGAGAAGTGGGCTCCAAAGGGAAGCCCAAACTTTACCTGTATGATGACCGTTTGTACACTAATCCTGAATTGTATGTCATATTTTTTTAAAGTTATACACCAAATGAATAAATAAATATATAAACCTATTAAATATAAAAAAAAAGAAAAAAAATGCTTTGTACATATTTTTTTTGATTTGGAGTCTCACTCTGTTGCCCAGACTGGAGTGCAGTGGCCACTCCCGGCCACCACAGCCTTGACCTGCTAGGCTCCGGCGATCCTTCCACCTCAAAAAAAATTGTTTTCCCAAAACTGTGAAACTGAGTTCTGCTGAATAGGAAAAGCTAGTGCAATATGTGGACAAGTTGCTCCTTTTGTCAAGAGGGAAGCACCAGGCATGGAATGTCAGTGACAAAAGAGGGAATGTACATTTTTCCTACTGACACACATAACTCAAGAAGTTGCATCCTGGTCAGGCTCGGTAACTCAATCTATAATCCCAGCAATCTGCGAGACCGAAGCGAATGAATTGTCTGGGTCCACAGCTTTGAGACCAGCCCAGGCAATTTGGCGAGACCTCGTTTCTACAATAAATAAAAAAGTAGCGGGGCATGGTAGCATGTGGTAGCTCGTGCCTGTAGTTCTGGCTACTTGGAAGGCTGAGGCAGAAGAATTGCTGGAGTCCCTCAGGTCGATACTGGAGTGACCATGAGCATGCCACTGCACTGGGTAACAGAGTGAGACTCCCACTCAAAAACAAAACAAAACAAAACAAAAGTTGCATCCTGTGTTCTCTGAAGGTGAACACACTGTAAGATCCCAGAGAAAATAGCAATTAGAAGTTTGGAGAACTTATGTGGTAGCCTTAACATCGGGATTATTGCTCCCTTTAAAAACAACCTTTCTCAATCAAAATCTCAGTACAAAATAGAGAAACTAATTACGACATTTTGGAAGAACTTACCTTCTTAGAAGGCATGATCCCAAACATGGGGAACATTAAACCAGGCAGCAAAGCTGTTACCGACAGAGGTAAAGCTTCTGTGAGCCAAAATATGGCAATGACAAAGAGTGTGTAGGCACATTCTGCTTCCTGGAAAAGACAAAGGTGAAATAAAAGGTGAAATAATGAGGCGGAAGAAATCATCATTCAAATCACAACCACGCTTGCTGAATAGAGCCTTGTCACAGAAAGTAAGAAGCTCTGAAGATCTCTGCATCTTTGAGTTGCTTTCAAACAGTTGTTTCTTAGGGGTTCCATGAGCCAAAATTTAATAATAATGAAAAACCGACAGAAAGAAAATCCTCATTTATTAAATTTCTTTCACATTTTCTTCAATATGGGTAACATCATATAGTCAATTTTTGGTGTTCATATTAGCATCCATGCATGTTTGTACTCATCTTCATTTGACCTATAAAATGCACTCCCAGTACTTCTGGAGTGCAGAAATAGTCACGTTACAGTCTTACCTCTAGGGCAGGATGCCTCCTGTTTAATTGTGTTTTTTTTTTTTTTTTTTTTTTTTGGTGCTTGGTTAGATGGAACCCATGCACACCTCGCTGTTGCTTCTCCTAACAGGGTTGCTTTTCCTAAAGAGGGAAATCAACCTAGGAGAAGGTTTGTCTCAGAGAAAAGACAATGACAAGTTGTGTAGCATGGATAATCCTGAATCCAGCTCCCAAGGGACAAGTACCGAGAGGTGAAGAGCCTTCTGCTTTGCTTTTTGAGAAAGATAGCCGAGTTACTAAGGAGATACAGGGCGACTAAACAGGAATGCTGCTCAATGAAATCATTTGCTTTGCTTAGTATACAACTGTAGGTTTCTGGTTTAGGGCATTGTTAAGAAGTGGTTGAAATTGATCGTTATATTTGACTTATATAGACAATTTTGATCTGAAATTACCTGGAATGTACTAAGTAATCAGTAACCTGCAGCTGTTGTATGACTTTGTGTTGCTTTCACATCACTTGCTCTCTGCAAATTCTGAGTTGCACTTGGAAAATTTACAAAAACTGCTGTTTGGGCTTACTGAGGTCTTTTGTGTAAGGGTTATACAATTTCTAGCTCAGTTGTCCCCTGATTCACCTACCTCAGGGTGAGTCCTCTGGGTTTGATGCTTACTTGCTCAATATCCCTACACTTTCAGTGGGTTTTTAAAGAAAACCTTACTAAGCCAGAATTATGTTATATATTTATTGTGTCATCTTTTTAAAGGAGAAAGAATAAAAGTGTTTTGAAGTTGACAGTTTTATAAGGAGCCTGCCTCTATAGTCTTGACAAATAACAAAACAGCAAAACAAAGCTGAGCCTGACTGAATTTTCCTAATGCTCCAGAGAGAATTTGTGAATACTTCTTAATCTAAAATGCCAGTGTGGAAGAAAGGTGGCACATTTTATCTTAACGAGAACACATGGATCACCTAAAAGTTCCTCCTTATGATTTCATGTTTTCTATTATACTTGTAAGAAACTAGGTTTATAAAATGGACTCTTTTCTATCTTGCTCTCTAGTTACAACCAACCACTCTCTTGGTCCTCTCTGTTCCCCAATCGTTGTGTCTCTTAAATCTGCCCTCTACCTCTACTTCACTCTCCACCACGGGCAAGGGTGTTCCAAAACCAGATCATTTTCCAAAAATTCATTTTGCTTCTGTTGTTCCCTTGCAGAAAGTCAGATAAAGGGTCTAGCTACCCTGACGTCTATCTGGAACATCAATCTATAAGGGTTACTAAAATGTCAGAAAAATACATAGAATAGATGGTGCTAACTAATTCTGTTCACTACATATGACCCTTACCATAAAGTATTGAAAATTCATGTCAATGTGGGTCTACTTTGGCTAGAGAGTTATAGTCTGATAAGATGGGGGCAACTTTGGTTACAGAATAACAAGCAAGATATCAAGTATTAAATTATTATATAATACATTTCCTGGACTACTTTCATATTTTAAGTGGCCCATCCATCTCTGACTTAAAACAACCAGAATCAGTGACATTTCATTGTTTATTGAAAAAAATTCAAGAATCCTCATTTTGTGTTCAAAGCCACCTATATTTTAATTAGAATGTCTTACTACAATACTTCCTAGCATCAATTCTCTATATCCAGAGTCTTTTTCACACATCTTCTTGAGATTTGAGTTCAAATCTTTGCTCCTTGTCATACACCTTTTTTGACCTCTAATTCATGACATTCAGCCAGATGGTATGCCAGTAAGCACCCCGATTGCCTTATGTCCTTGTTTCTACCTGTCTATGCCTGTGTTCTGAATTCTTTGACCTTGTCTGATTATGGATGAAGTAGTTACAGGTTGATGGCAAAGTCTAGCAAGAAAATTCTATTTAATTTGACTCACAATGTTGTGTGTGTGTGTGTGTGTGTGTGTGTGTGTGTATGTTTAATTTGAGTCAAGCTTTATTAACAAGCAGATTTAATATTTAAAAATAAAATATGAAATTCTGGCTCCTCTTAAAAAACTGAGAGATTTGGTAACATTGGGATCATATTCCATGGCAACATTCTCCAGACTCTCCTTTAGAGATTTACTTGTATTTTTTCAATTGTATAAAGTACTACCACATCACCTCACGCATTCTGTTCCCTCTTTGACTTTTGCCAGCATTTAAATCAAATCCTGGCAGGAAAATTGTTACTTGTTCTGCCCTTCAAAACTTGCTTCACCATCCCAGAATCGACACTTAGCTTGCTCCTTTGGACTTCTCCCTCTCCTTTATGTGGTCCATGAACCAGCAGCATCAGCATGATCTGGTGATTCTTATCTAGGTTAAAGTTTGAGAAGCACTGGACTACACCCTTTGCCAGACCTTCCCTCTCATCTTTAACTCTGGGTTTTGAAACTTACTTCCAGGTAATATCCTTCTTCCTGAGCTGAATCTCTGGATTTATAACTTATTTTAAAAGCATGCTCATTCTTCAATATGCAGTTCAAATTTATTTCTTATCCATGGAATTTCCTTGAATTACATATGTGTATTTCATATTTTTGCATACAAGTCTCAGTGGATTATATTTACAGGTGAATAAACCACCATATTTGCATTGTTCCTAAGAGCTGCCTTCCCAGAAATTGTAGAAATTGTCTCATTTCTGAAGGAAATAGAAGGCATAGAAAAAGAGGAAAACAGAGTTACTCCCCTCTGAGTGCTCTTTATTTTTAGTTTTTAAAACTGACAGATGAAATTGTGTATTTATTATGTACAATATGATGTTTTGAAGAATGTACACATTACAGAATGATTTAACCTAGCAAAACATACATATCATCTCACATAGTTATCATTTCTGTGATGAGAACACTTTGCATCTACTCTTTTTTTGGTTGCTTCCATATCTTGGCTGTAGTGAATAATGCTGCAATACACATGGGAGTGCAGACATCTCGTTGACAAATTTATATTATTTCTTTTGGATACATACTCAGTAGTGGGATTGCTGGATCATGTGGCAGTTCTATTTCAAAAAAAAATTTTTTTTTTTTAATTGAAGTCTCACTCTGTCGCCCAGACTGGAGTGCAATGGCCGCTCCCGGCCACTGTGGCCTCGACCTTCTGGGCTCCAGCGATCCTTCTGCCTCAGCCTTTCAAGTAGCCGGAACTACAGGCGCGCGCTACCACACCCAGCTAATTTTTTTCATTTATTGTAGAGACGAGGTCTGGCCAAAGTTGCCCGGCGGATCTCGAACCCGCAGAGCTTAGGCAATCCACTCACCTCGGTCTCCCAAAGTACGGGATTACAGGTTGAGCCACCGAGCGCGGCCTATTTCAAAAATTTTAAGGAACCTACATACCATTTTCCATAATGGTTACATTAAATTATATTTCTGTTGACAATTGCAAGTATTCCCTTTTTTCTACACCCTTGCCAGCACTAGTTAGAAGAATCATTCTAACAAGTGTGAGGTGATATCTCATTGTGGTTTTAATTAGCATTTTCTAGATAATTAGTATAGCTAAGCATTTTTTGATATATCTGTTGACCATTTGTATATCTTCTTTTTATTCAGGTTCTTTCCTCATTTTTAAATTAAGTTATTTTTTTAAATTAATATTGAATTGCTTGAGTTCCTTATATATTTTTCAGATTAACGTCTTATCAGATGCATAGCTTGCAAATGATTTGCAGTTTAATGTAATCCCATTGGCCTGTTTTTGCTTTTGTTGCCTGTGCATTTGAGATTATATGAAAAAAATCATTGCCCACACCAACATCATGGAGCTATTTCCCTGTTTTCTTCCAGTAATTCCATAGTTTTGGGTCTAACATTTAAGTCTTTAATTCCTTTTAAAATGATTTGAATATATGGTGAGAGTTTGGGTCTAGTGTAATTCTTCCACATGTGGATATTCAGTTTTCCTAACATCTTTTATTAAAGAGACTGTCTTTTTCCCTTGGTGTGATCTTGGCATTTTTGTTGAAAATCATTTGGCTGTAAATGTGTGAGATTATTTCTGTTCTCTATTCTGTTCTGTAGGTCTGTTTGTCTGTTTTTATGCCAATACCATTCTGTTTTAGTTACTATAGATTTATAGTATATTTTGAAGTCAGATAGTGTGATATTCCAGCTTTTTTCTTTTTGCTCAAGGTTGTTTTGGCAGTTTGAGGTCTTCTGTAGTTTTATACACTTTTTAGTATTGTTTGAGTGTCCTTTAATGGGTAGGATGCTCATCTGCTCGAATACTCTCAGGACAGTGCTGGTTTACACCTATTGTACAAATATCCCTTCTAATTACTCCCCCTTCATTCCAAAAAAGTTAATGTGGTACATATACACAATGGAATATTACACAGCCCTAAAGAAGGACAAAATTATGAACTTTGCAGCAACTTGGATGGACTTAGAGTCTATAATACTCAGAGTGATTTATCACAGAAACAACGAACTGAGTAACACATGTTCTCTCTCATAAATGGACCTTGAAGAATTATCATAATACTATAAGAAAAAGATTGGCAGTAGTGGAAAACTGCCAGGGAAGAGGTGGGGGGGTGGGATCGGCAGTGGTGGGAAACTGCCAGGGGAGGTGAGGGCACACCTCATCAACAAGGGTATCTGCATAATGAACA